CACGGAATAGGCAGCCTATGCCCGTGACGACTACGCGTGTTTTCCCTCTACAACAGCGGCATCAATCGCTTCATTTCAGCCAGGACTGTCCGGGCAAAATATCCCTGTATCCGGCACACCACCTCCAGTATACCTATTGCCGTGGCTGTGGTTACTGTGCGCGCCGCTACATTTACCTGCGCCTTGCGGTGAGAAACCCAGACCCTGTGGCCGCAACAACAATGTGGTGACTGGCAATACCAGATTCTGCCAAGATGGCTTTTGTATCTCCCCCACCCCGCCAACACCGCTGTGGGGACCATCATAGCAGCCAACAACAACCGCCGTTCGCTACTCAGTGGTGGTGACGTCACCGCGGCTCCTGTGCCAGGCTATGTGCACGTTAAGGCCACGTGAAGTATCGGGTTGATTGACTGAGATGAGCGGCCCTGGACCACAGCCGCCGGCCTGCCCACCCGCCCGCAGGTGGCTCACTCGCCCCGTGGGCATCGCAGTGACAGTGGCAGAGCGACGTGGCGCAAGACGCAGCGGCGGTAGCAGCAGCTGTCGGCGCAGGAGGCAGTGCGTCGCGGTGCGTCACGCGAGGCGCCAGGGATCGCTCCCTGCGTGCACTCTGACAGCCACGGCCCCTGTAGCAGCATCCGTCCCGAACCGACAGTTTAATAGGTTGCCGGCGTGGATCGGGCTCATAACGGCCGTGTCGGAGCAGCGAGTCACGATCCTCGGTCGGGTTGGAGTCTGGTTCTGAGCCAGGTTTTTGTGGTGTAATATAGCAGCGGGCAGCCATCAATCCAGAAATAGAATCAGAATCTTTATTGAGACTGCAGGAGGAATCCGATGAGCTACAAAGCTCTTCTTCACATGTCCAGTAGGAGCGGATCAGCAAGTTACGACAACAAACAGAAACACGATGGGAGTGCAAAGTATAGAAAAGGTAAATCATTCACAAATTGCATAAGTACATCAATTACGGGTGATTTTTCAACGCTAAATGCAAGTTTGGGCAAGGCACCAGAACAAAAACAGTCCCAGACTACACTAAGACAACACACAGTCCCTCAATAAAATTGCACATTAAAATTAAACTATGCATACACGGGTAAGGATCAAAACTACAATCACATTTGCATTTTACGATGTCAAGGGAGGATACGAGGTTGTTCCAAAACGTTGGTGCTGCAAAGGCGTTGTCGCTTATTCCATTTCTTTTTCTTGGGATAGTTAAAAGGAAATTAGATGGACGTCCTTAGTAATGTTTTTTGTACTAATGTTGCTCGTAAATCGCAATTCCCATATAACACTGAATGTAATGGCAATAGTAGTGACATTAACTAGCAAAATAAAAATTACACCTTTAAATTACAATATCATACGCACAGCCTAAAAGTATTTACATTTAAATAGATTTACGTGGTTAAAGTGAAAATTCTGTAAGAAAACAATAGAATTCGAAGTAAAAACGTTCATTATAACGTTCAACTTTACCGTTACATGAGACCGTTACATGAGATACATTAATGGATTAGGTTTGCATAATCAATAACGGCCCAAATAATGTAGAAGTTGTAGACAAATGCACATGGGAATATACTCATAAATGAAATAATACCAAAAAAATAAACAGGAACAAAATACACGATAATTGCAGCACTTCGTGAACATCTCGACTAAATAAGAGCTTTACTTTCCTGGCCTTCAAAGCTGCGAACTTGTGAATCACTTCATCGAAATCAATGCCTTTCACCAACTCAATTTCAATTGATAATATCGCAAGATCAGAAAGCCTTGACTGTCCCAGGGTAGATCGCAAATAGTTATTTATACGTTTCAGCTTTGAAAAGCACCTCTCACATGAAGCCACAGACACACAGATCGTCAGAAATAATTTGAGGCTTATTGAAAGGGTTGGGAGAGATTCTACGAAGTCCCATTCAGCTATGAATGTCAAAACGTCTAATGTTGCCCAATCTTTGGCTTCTTGCAGATAAATCTCTGCTGCTTTCAGGTGCCTTCTCAGACTCGCTATTTCTATTAAAAGCCCACTCTCGAATACCTCATCATAAAAAGTGGTAAATTTTGGAATGGACAACTTAAACTCTTCTTTAGTGGCAGATATGAGACTCTTCGCTTGAACAGCCTCAAACATCATTAGATCTCCTTTGCCAGTACCAAGTATATAATAATAGGGTTGTTCCCCTTTTTGTTTGTACTCATTACTTTGATAGTGCATTGTCTTTGAGCTGTACGCATTTTGGCGTCCTCTGGTCGAGCACCAATTGAGACGAGGCTCTAAAGAAAGCTGTCTTGGGTGTGGACCAATCAGTTTCAAGGACAATGCATATATTATCAGAGTGTGTTTTTTTGTTAACATTTTGACTGCAAGTATTGTGGTTAATGCAGACATGAATCCTTGTAAAAAGGTTTCAGTTTTGTTGCCAGAAAAATGGGAACAACCCTATTATAATAGCCTCAAACATGGCTGCTACTTCTTTGATGGCTCTTGATCTGATCTGGAGTTCAGAATGAAAGCGCTCAATGCACTCAAGCATCACCCTCTTAATTTCTTCTTGCAGAGTGAGTCCAGCATCGCTTGCCTGCTCCCCTGCCATCCTCTGATTGAACCTGGCTCTTCTCTCTACGGCAATTCCATATTCGTCTGATTTTCAAAGCACCTCTTCAACTGCATGCTCCGCTAGGTGACTGCGCTCCTCGTGCAGAAAAAAAAGTCTTAGCGCCTCGAGCTTTGTCACCACCTTGTCGAGAGTTAAGCCCTCAGTCTGCAGGTACTGCTGTGTAAGATTAACCTCCTCAAGTACATCACACCAGAAGTACGGGTAGCACAGACAAGTAAATCACAGACAGCCGGCAAAAGACCTTGTAATGCTCCTCTTGTGTCTAAATTTTCACGTGGATCACAAAGAGCTTCAATCGCCGCCTAAATGTTTTCTTTAACTGGCTTCACTGCAGCATGATGAGTACTCCAGTGTGTTGTTGATATACTTTTCACTGACACTCCAGTATGGTCAATTAACACATCCCATGGATGGGTGGAAGCAGCAAAGAAAGAAAACATTGTCTCAAGAATTTAAATAAATGTCACACGATGCATTTTCCGCAAGAGAGTGCACAAGTTAAGCGAATGGTCCACACATCCATTAAAATCGCTTTCTTGTTCTTTCCACTTTAACAATGGCTTGTACACCTCCATGGAGTCCAGCCAGAGTGGCAGCATTATCGTAACCTTGAGCGTGGCACATCATGATGTCCAGTCCATCACTTTCCAGTTTTTTTAAGAATGTCAGAACTGAGGTCAGCAGCTTTTCTCCCCTTTAAAGGGAAAATCCTAGAAAAACTTACTTCACTTCAACTTTCCTATTGTTGATTTTTACATATCTGATCACTTCGGACATCTGGTCAGTATGTGATATGTCAGGTGTGCTGTCGAACATGATCCCAAAGTACTTCGCAGACTTTATGTCCATGACAAGTTTTTGGTGCAAGATAAGAGACTAATACTTTAATTTTACAAGCGCTCAACTTTAATCTCATTAGGTGCTCTTTCAGCACTGGATCATATGTTGAAAGCATCTCAACCATCTCAAGAAAGTTCCCTTTATTCAATGAAGATTCATCTCCCTTGTGGCCACGGAATGCCAGATTCTGTTTGGCAAGAAACAATGCGATATCAAGCAATCTGTGCAAGATGTCCCTCCACTCTTTCTTATCCATTTCCATCAAAGCAATCGTTTCGACGTCAGTGGTTTTGTGCAGCCTCAGTCCTGCTGCCAATGTTTTCCACTTTTCAAGGCGACGTAGGTGCTCTTGGGATGTCTCAAGGTTATGCACTTTCGGGCTCAGTTTCCACCACTTCTGAAGCCCAGTCACAAATGTGGATGTCGTATCTGTAGCACTAACGGCAAACAGTCGGCAGCAAAAACAGTATCAATTATCGCTGACGAGTGAGTAAACCATCCATGACCGCAGAGTTTTCTCGCCATTTGGCATCACCGTGTAAAACCACTCTTTTGCAAGCTGGCGCACATGTCCCTTTGCTTGTGCATCTTGCCTTGCCGCGACTCTGAAAGGCCCATCTCTGTTCTGGAAAGAAGCACTTCCCCTTTTGATGATTTCAGCCCGAAAATTATCTGGAACTGGTATCTCCCATAAAGAAACATCACTTAACATTTGCAAATCTTTCTCCTTAACGCCACTCATCTCATTTACAGTATCGTGGCAACAGTCACTTTCAGCACTCTCTTCAAATTCTGCCATTTCCACTCCTTGCTCTTCTGCAGAATGCACGCTCGCATTAGAAGAATCAGCTTCATCAATTGTAGACCGACGAGCAGTGTCTACAATATTGTGGTAATACTAATTACCACAATATTGTAGCTAGAACACCAGAAAATTTGACAAAATCAGCGACTATAAAAACACGAGCAGCGACGAACACAACAGTGCGTGCCTGGAGCGCGTGCAGACGAGACCACATGGCTCGAAGCGTCACTGTAGTTGAGTAACAATGACGGCTCTGACCGGAGAGTATTAGAAGATCCAAAAAGTAAATTAGCATAGCAGAGTTTTAGCTTTGTATGTATATTTATACAGTACATGTAAGTTGGGCTTACGAAAAAAAATTGTTATAACTAACTACAGGGATATGTTTATTAAAAAATAATACAATTCTGCTGAAACTGCACAAACATTGTATATGCAGTCATTTTGGTGTCACCCCCTCTGATGGTGTCACCCGCTGCGGTCCGTAGCCCCCGAACCCCCCTAGTGACGCCACTGCCATAGACTCACACAGAGACCCATAGACTCATCACACAGAGACCCACAGACTCATCACACAGAGACCCACAGACTCATCACACATAGACCCATAGACCCCATAGACTCATCACACAGAGACCCACAGACTAATCACATAGAGACCCATAGACTCATCACACAGAGCCCCATAGATGAGAAGAGTTATGAAGATGCTACGGATGCAGGGACAAAGGAGGAGAGGGGCGACGGAGGGTGAGACGGGAGGATCCAGTGGAGCGAGATTCGAGGAGGAGGAGGAGGGAGCAGGAGGAGGGATGCGAGAAGAAAGAGGTGCAGAAGAGACGCTCATGGGGAGTGAAGAAGCACGCAATCATCGGACCACTGTCTTAGGAGAGGAAGCCATGGGGGTGAGTGATTACACACAGAGGGAAGGACTTGTGTCGATGTTGGGTGGAGAGAGGGTTGGGGGCCTCTTTGTTTGCCTCGTTGCTGTAACTTTATTTCCAATTGCTTCCCTTTTGTCGCTTTGGTGACCCGGGCCATGCTTGCGAATGAGCCTGTCCCGGTCTCTTTGAGTTCTCACCGCGGTTAAAGAAAATAAACTTTAAATCTCAGTGACTTGAGAAGCGCAGGGCTGTTCCATGTACAGACACCGGGCTCAAGCGATGGGGAAGAAGTGACAGAGAGAACTGCCTTCGTCATTCAAAGCCTCTCTTTGCACGTCTCACAACCACCCCATTACACTTATTAAACATGAACAGGCTCTGATATTATCAGAGCGTGTTTGTTTACATGTTCACCACGAGTACTGGTTGTGGTTAATGCAGTACTTGATTTCTTGCAAAAGGTTTCTATTTGGTGTTTGAACATCTTAACACCTGTTTTATTGCCCGAAAGTGTGAAAACCTATTCTTATTTTTTTTCATATTTTGATACTGGCAAAAAAGGGTCCCATTCTGTAACTTCATTAAACAGCTGAGCACTTTGCTCATTCGTGCAGCCGCCTGCTCTGTCCCGTTGCTCCGCGAGAGACGGTTCCACCGCGGCGCCCATCACATTCGATCGCCCGTCGACAGCAGCGCTCAGAGGGTTCGTTGGGACGTCGTCGGTGGGGTGGCGATGAAGCGGAGCAGCCCAGCGCAACTGCGGCGTGACATTCCGGGAGCGCGCCACGCGACGCTGCGGGTCCTGGCGCCAAATGAAGGGAAATGTGACACCTCAACCACGCGGCTTCATTAGCGCGACCGGGGTGAGATTGTTGATGAAAGCCATTAAAACGCCCTGCACTCCTACGATACGGCACTCATTTGCATATGCGCATGGCTGCCGGCAGGCTATAATGCCATTACTTCAGGGCGGCTGCAGAGCAATAATAATAATAATTGATCGTGCCAGGGATAGACGCCTGAGAGTGTGCAAAGAAGCACGGGGAGATGCGCGCTCGGGCAAGGCACTGAGAGAGAGCCGGAGAGAGGAGTGCGTGCGTGAGTCAAGAGGACGCGGCACGCTACGGACGTTGAGGACGTCAGCGGAGGCTTGGGCAGGACGCGTCACCACGGAACGAGAACGGCGGCCGTGGTCGAGACTCGTGGAGGAGTGGCAGCCAGAGGAGGAGCCACGCCTAAGAGGGCATCTGTGGGGTCATTTGAGAGGCTTGACCCAGCCGTGGATTGATCATGGCTGCTGGTCATCATGATGATGAGTGCGCCGTTTAGCACACCGTGGGCCAGGCCACATCTTGCCATTTTGCATTCTCCTATTTTTTTTCTCCTAAGAGGGGGGCCCCAACCGAGCGAGAAGCAAAATAGTGACGAAATAGATTCCTCATGTTCGTAGATTCCTCATATTCGTAGATTCCTCGTGTCTGTAGATTCTTCGTGTCTGTAGATTATTCGTGTTCATCTGTCCTGCCTCACGGGCGCAGAGCAGCGTGAGGTCCGGTGGCGGTGGCGGGGAGCTGTGGGGAGCTGCGGTCTCTCCAGAGAGCGTCAGACCCGTTGAGACACACCGCTCGCCAGCGATGCCAATAATCACGCAACGTTGGGCCGGTGTTGCACCTGTACCGGGGCTGTAGGAAGAATTCCATTGTCAGTTATAATTATGTTTTAATATTCGTATTATGACTGTGTATGTAAGTGAAAGCGCAACTTCAGGGAGTCCTCCTGAGTATCTCAATACTTACCAAGGTCTTCTAATGCTGGTCACCGAGTCATCATCGGTATTCCGTTCACGGCAAGTCGAGGTGGCGAGCCCTGTTCGATGATCGATCGTTTGCTCTCCGAGTCAACAAGGAGGAGAAACGCGCGCGTGGCTCTCTGTGACGCTTCCTTAGCGCGTCGGTCCTCGCACACGATTTAATTGGCGATGAGAACTTTCTGCACCGGGCCGCACGAGGTGATGGCACGTGTAAATGCCGTCATCGCCTTGGCCAAGCCACAATTTCTAGCACTGTTTTTAGCACGTAAATGTTGGGGCAACCCTTCCATCAATTTCGGGGTGCCACGGTAGTGAGATGTTAACTACCCTGCCTGGTCTACCCGAGGTCATGGGTTTTGATCCCGACTCCTGCTCTATATTTGGAGTTTGCGTATCTCTCTCCGCGTGGTTTCGTGGATTTTTCTCCGCGTCCTCCGGTTTTTCCCTCAACATTTGGAATCAACGTCACGTGTTTAGAGTATTTGGCTCCGAGAAATGTCCACGTGATAATAAGCCACTTCGTTGAGCTGTCATTTGTGGCCAGGTCGCCTCTGAAAAAGAGCCAGTGGGCTGTACCGAGTAAAATAAATAAATAAAGTTTTTTTCGTTTAATTTGTCCGGTTCTCATTCGGGCCAGTCGCTCAGAGCAAGACAACCCTCGACTCAAATTTCGTTCGTATCCATGTCCTGCCCCCGTCAACTCAAAAGTCCCACTCCGTCATCGTTTGGGTAAGTTACGTCAAGCGCCTTGAGTGAAGGCGCTCTATAAATATAGATGAGACGAGATACTAGATCGTCGTGACGAGATGCATCGTGGCGGCTACTCCCCTCGCTGTTTGAGGGCAGATGCACTGGGCAATGCGTCCCCTTTCACCCACCGATAAGCCACCACTGGGAAGGCAGCGAGGGTTGGCGGGTCACACAAACGTCGTGAAACTTCCTTCCCGCGAGTCTCGAAGAGGAGCCGTCGGCTGGCTGGCCAGGGGAAGGCGGTACACGAGGTCTGGACTAATCCCCATCTGTTCCATCTGTATGGGGTAGAGCGTGCCCCCTCGTGCGCAACGGCTATTTGTCCTCCCGCGTGTATAAACACTCATTCATCGGCGAATTTGTACAATTATTTCGGGTTGTGTTTGCATATAAATGTATATTGTGCTCTAGTGGAGTAGTGCCCTACGCCGGTGATGAATCCTCACTCGAAGCAAGCCACCGAGTCCTCAGCGGCGTGCTGGGAAATATCGAGAGTGGCAAACGAGCGGACATGCGCGCACAGGCATCGCAGTTGTGCTCGAGCATCACGGGCTGCGGGGAGGCAAGATGAGCTTTTCGAAATATGCCACCGACTTCCTCCGCGCGCACACGCGGCATTCCTGAGAATCGGCCACGGCAATTTCCACCACCCCCCTCCCCCTTCGCAATTACTGTGAAAATTAATATTAAATTACGTTGCCGCTCGGCAAGAGCAGGTTTGCTGCACACATCACCGTAATTACCTGTCTCGGATGTTCTCCCCAATGTTGCGGATTGGCTCTCGCCGCAGGCGCAGCGCGACTCTAGCGCTTGTGTGGATCAAGCGCCGGAGCCATTTCTGCCGAGCCTCGCTGTCTGCAGTATTCACTGTCTGCAGTATTCACTGTCTGCAGTATTCACTGTCTGCCAAGCCTCGCTGTCTGCAGTATTCACTGTCTGCCAAGCCTCGCTGTCCGCAGTATTCACTGTCTGCAGTATTCACTGTCTGCAGCAAAGCGTGTGGCTTCGTGTACACACACACAAAGCGTAAAGACAAAGATCCCCCGTGTAGACTTTTCACAGACTGCTGGGGCAAGTGCTATCCGCGAGCACCTATGAAGGTCGCCACGGTGCACGAGGGGGTGGGTGGCCAACATCGCGCCCGGCCGCCTTTGTCTCCCCAGTGGCGATGTTTTTTACACCCGCACCAGGTACTCAGTTGAGGCTGAGTCGACCTAGGGGAGGCCCAGGACCGGTTCAGATCGTCACTGGTGTTGGCCGTGACCGGGAATCGAACTCGGGTGGCCGAGTTGGTAGCGCAGCGCTAACCGCTTCACCACCGCTCCCCTCATACACACGCATACTACTCACGTACGCGCCGCGTGTACGCACACAAAGATTGCCCGTGTGGCTTACATGGGCTGCCTTGGGGGTAAGTGCCGTTAGCGAGCACCTGCGAAGGCCGGGATGAAGGTGGAAACACGGCCGGTGTGGTTAGCACCACGGCCGGCCGCGTTTGTCTCACTCCCCCCCCCCCCCTGTGCTGAATTATACACAACGCACCAGGTATTCGTGGAAGGCGAGGTGGGCCTCGCGGGGAGACGCATCAGGACCGGTTCAGATACATTCGTCGGTGATGTTGGCCGTGGCCGGGAATCGAACTCGGGTGGCTGGGCGAGGGAATGCAGTGCGCTCACCACCGCGCCGTGCACATCCGCCGCTTCAAGTTAATGAAAGCCAAGCCACTAGCCATGCCACATGGCACAATGATAGCTGTTTTGTGCAATTACTATCCATTTGAAATAATGTATTTTCCAAGCTTGGTAATGTCCCGAATCGTGGTAATTTAATGATTGTGTGTGTGGGGGGGGGGGGGGGGTTCATCACACTTACTTTAATTTTATTTAAAGACCCCGTAATTTTGGGTAGCAACTCCCGAACGCTACCTCGCCCCGCCCCTGACGTCAGCAGCCGCGGCTCCCCATACACGTCGAGGGCAAGGGGGTGCAGCAGCCCTGTGAACTGCTTGCTCAGGACAGGGGAAAGGGGCCTCCACATCGCTGGGAGCTCGAGATCATCCCCGCCAGAGTGGCACGCGGCCCGCTCGTCACGCTGACACCGACACCTTGAACAACACGAACATTGGGGGCACCCCCACACTTCACACCCCCACACTTCACACCCCCACACTTCACGCCCCCACACTTCACACCCCCACACTTCACGCCCCCACACTTCACACCCCACACTTCACACCCCCACACTTCACACCCCCACACTTCACGCCTCCACACTTCACATCCCCACACTTCACACCCCACACTTCACGCCCCCACACTTCACACCCCACACTTCACGCCCCCACAC